ATCATTTCTCTGGGCTTCGCTTGTACCAAAGCGGCCCGTGATCGAGGCAGAGATCCTGATGATGAGGAACAGATAGAGAGCTGAGGATCTGCACTCTGGCTCATCATGGTGTCAAAAAGGTCAGCTGAATTTGATGGCCGGTGAGATCATGAACTTTGTCCAGACTTTGGGCCATGTGGAGATTGGACTGTATGGCGGCAACGAGCCGACAATCAGATCCCTTCTACGAATCTTGCTCAATTGCAGGCAGGCAATGGGCCTTCGCGGCCCTATACAGTACCAAGGTGAAGGACTCAGCAGGAAACTTGCTGGCTGATAATGCAATCCAGAGAGTTCGGGGCTTAGCAAGCACATTGAAACCACCGCTTCCGGGTCTTTCCATCTGATAGGGTTTCATTCGCCAGTCATGGAAGAACCTTGTAGTCAACCTGTCCAGATGAAAATCCTCCAACTTCAAAGGTTCCAGCGGCTGCCAGCGCGTCCATCCTCATCAATCTCTTCTCTTCGACCTTGTTGGCGGGCAGGTCAATCTCTAAGCCTGGATCAGGTGGTGTTTTGTGCAGGGGTGCATCGCTCCGTAGCTCTTCAGGGATGTCTCCTGGTTGTAGGTCTTCAAGATCTTCTGCGCCCTCTTCATGGCCAATGTCTCCACGTCCAACACCTCATCGAGGTGGTACATGGTCTCATCCCCAATGCAGACCTTTTCTACTCTTCTTTCCACCATCTGTTGATGTCCTGATGAGCTTGCTCCTCCTCCTTCGGGCACTTCAATCCTTGCTCGTTTAGCTTCTGGTTCAACTTTGACAGCAAGGCAAAGGTTCAATCACCATATGAATGACTCCTCACTGTCCCCCTTTCCCCAGATTGATCTCCAAGAGCTGGGGTTCCTCGCAATCCTCCACTTGGCTCTTCCTGCTGCGGGGCAAGTGGTGTAGATACCTCTTGATCAGCAACCAACGCTCCTCCATCTGCTTCACGAGCTTCTTCGATTTCTCTTTGGCTCTCCTCAAGCCCTTCCTTGGACATGGCATAGCTCTTTTGCTCGGGGCAATCCTTCCACCGAAGTTAATCTGGTACCGAAGCTGAAGGTGGCAAAGTTCTGGTAATAGGCTCCAAAGTTCTTCCATGGGCGGTCAACTCGCCTCACTGAGCGTGTCAAAAGAACTTGGCTGCCGTCACCAACAATCCATGAGTCCTGGCCTTCGGTTTTGCCCAGAAACAACGTCATTCGCCAGCTTGGATTTCCTTTTCCAGGTTGAGGCTTGACAAAGGCGTACACAGGGCATCCAAATGGGATCAGGGAGCCGTAGGGCTTTCCACGCGCCGGCTCATGACTGGTGACGCCCTGCGTGGCCTGGAACTTGTTGAGCGACCAGCATGAATGTCGAGCTGCCCAACTCCACAAAGCATGGTTTGTGTTGAGCTGTAGCCCAGTCTTCGAGGCCACTTCGCCCAGAGAAGGGCTAGATTGGTGGGGTGAGAGTACGCCAATGACATGAAGTCTATAGCCCGGCCTCAGGACAGCGTTCTTTGAGGGTGCTCCTTGTGCTTTTCCTGAACAATGTGGTGGTCAGCCAAGGCATCGAACGAGATCATGGACTACCAGTTCTGGGAGCATTGGACATCAAAGATGCCTTTTTGCAGGTTCTTCAAGAACGTCCTCTCCAGATGGCCACTACAAGCTTCTCGACGCATTCCTGGACAGCAAATTGGAGCAAAAGCCTGGTATGACTTTCTGAGGGACTACTTGGAGTCTGAGCTTGCATTCACCTTTGCAAGGCGCAGGGAGTGAGCTGGTGTGCGTTTTGATCCACGTCGATGATGTGATGTTCACCGGGCATGAGAAGCCAGTGGAAGGCTTCATCATTGGGAAGCTGAAGAGGTTTGACGTGGAGGTTGCCATGGTCAAGAACTACAACGACGAGTTCTCTTTCCTGAAACGCAAGTACACCTATGGGCCTACATGTGCCTGGGCAATATGCCACAAAGATGATCAAGACCTTCGAGGAGAAGTATGGCATAGTGAGGAAGCAGAGGTTGCCAGCTACCACAGATATCTAGGATGCTGATGGGTCCAATGTGGCGCGCCTGGTGCCCCAAGAAGATGCCTCAATATATCGGTCGATCGTGGGGATGGGCATCTACTTCGCTCAGGAGCGCTTCGACATCAGCTTTGTGGTCAAAGAGCTGGCAAGCAAAATGGCTATTCCGACAAAACTGGCCATGCAGAGGATTCGCAAGTTTGTGGGCTACCTCAAAGAGACTGAGGACCAACGCATCCTTCTTCCTCTACCTGTTCAAGGAGAAGGTCTTCGCGGACACACGCGTGAGGTGTGGCTGTTAGAAAGCCTCACAGACGCAGACTGGAGCGGCGACAGAGTACATCTTCGTCCATTCATGGCTTGAACGGGATCATCATTTCCAGCACTTCACGTGGGCAGAAGGTGGTAAGCCTTTCCTCGGCAGAGAGCGAGCTGCGCGCACTTGTGTCTCGACCGTGTGATGGCATTTGCGTCAAGCGGAAAACTCTGCCACCAAACAAATCGCCAACAAGCGTGGTGCTGGACGCCTCCGCCATGTGAGCAGGAAGCTGCTTTGGTGTCAAGACAAAGTGGCACGTGGCACTATGGAAGTGAAGCAGATCAGCACGGTTCTCAATTTGGCCGACCTTGGAACATTGAGAAGGGCAAGATCATGAAAGTGGCGAAATACCTCAACCGCATCATGCTTTTGAGCGGTCTTGAGCTGGCCGCGGGTTCGAAGCCTGAGGGGAGCTATATGTGGAGGTGAACTACATGATCCCCTTCCATTGGATGATCCTCCTGATGGTGTTTGGCTTTCTTGTCTTTGCCATTGTGATCCTTTGGAACAAGGTGCAGGCCCTGGAAAAGAAGACTGAATTGTCTTCCTACAGAACAGGATCGAAATTGATGCGCGCGACAATCGAGAGGCTGTTGAACAGCAAGATCGAGAAAACTCGATGACGGCCGACTACGTGGAGAGAGTACATCGAGGATTGATAAACGCTGGAGGGCGTGTTGAAGATCCATCAGTGCAAGTGTTGGAATGGCAGAGCTTGCGCTACCTCGAGAAGGTGAACCGATGGCATGATGGCTTGAGATTGAGAAAGAGATGGTGAAAGATGGATACGGTTCAATGAGCGTGAAGATCAACTTCCTGGGACTGTATGGTTGTGAACATGGACGTAGAGCCAGGAGAACCGGGATTGAGTGGCGCAACAGCGATCATTGTCTTGGATGGTGGACGCATTGTTCAAGTACCAGCTGAATGTGTGGAACCAGCTGAATCTGAAGGACTGAAGGACCAGCATCGCCAGTCCCGGTGGCTGAACCTGAGCCCACACGGGCAATGAGAGCATGGAGGCCGA